ACTCAGGACATGTAATTATTTATACTAGAACTATTATCAAATGCTTGTTAGTTTATACGGATATATGCGGATATCACAGCTTACAAAAAATTATATAATATATATATATATATATAATATATATATAATATAATATAATATATAATATATTATATATAAAATTATATAAATGGCATCAGCGATTGTTTGTTTTAATAAAACTTTGTTAGCAAATGATAGCGAAATAGGTTATCACGGAGACTTTTTCGATCCTCTCTTGCTTACTCATCTCACTTACTCACTTACTCATCAGAGCGATCGAAATGCAGTCTTTCGGCTTTTGCGTACCCTTTTTTGGTCACTGCAGTGCAGCTCCAGTAAGTTCGCAATGAACAAAGTATTCTTGTGCAGTTAAACTTATTGTGTCCTTAATTAAATTTCTTAATTAGGGTGGCAAAATCATTGTCTCCCCCATAACGGTCAGACATCAGAGTTACGAAAGCTAAGCAAGATTATTGGTGGAAGAGCGACTGTCTTTTGTGTTTTATCGATTCATCGGCAGATATAAGCTATTGTTCATGTGTTTTCCATCTTTGATTTCGTTTAGCTTTGGTCTCTCTAAACAAAAACCGTAATAAGAAAAGTTTAGTGTAAACAGACATACATTATTGGATGACGACCTTAATCAAATATATTTCATGAAGAATACGGAAATCTCCTCAATGCTTTTGCTGGAAACGTCGCTGATCCCGTTCAGCAACCTTAAGCCCATTGCTCTTCCCACCTCGGATACTCCAGCAGATGTGGAAGTCATCATTTCCGGCTGGGGAAGGATCGAGAATCAGGGCGATCTGCAGTACAACACCTTGAAGTAAACATCCCTGGAGGGGTGTGACGAGTTGATTGGCTGGAGTGTCCAGAGCGAACTTTGTCTCGCGATTGAGACAATGGCGACTCCGGCCAAACGGCAATCTACAACAGCCAGGTGGTGGTTAATCAGTATCAGTTTGGAACTTTTCTTTCACCAATTAAAATTAAATTTATTATTGTACATATATTCAAGGTTCAGGCTCATATTCAGATTGAAAAAAGATCTATTCTACTTTTGTGATCCGTGTGAGGAAAACCCAAAGACCATCCCGATCCCGTAGAGTGATGAACAGATGACGAAACGGAAGAACGAACTCCAAACTGAGATATTGTTATCAGCCCTTCAATATGATGTTGTTATTTTTCTTACCTTTTTGGATTAAACCTTAATTTTCACTTTTTCTCCATGGATATTGGGCATAAAAATAATGCCAACTTAAAAACCGAGGAGCGAGATTTCCCAATCGATTTCCAGCAGCCATGTTCCATTGAAACTGTTCTGTACTGCGATAATGCAATATTGAATAACTTAGTATGACGAAACAGAAAAGAAGTGTGATCCAAACCAGTACTATGGAGTTCTTAGTCTGTCTTTACTATCCGCCAGATTACTGATTCCCACCTACATGTATGTTTTTGACATCTAGGAAGGAGGAATATGTTGACTGCCTGGAATGCCATATCTAGTCATAATCATTCGCTTCAGGAGGAAGTTCTAAACAATTCGTAGCTCGCCCCGAGTTACTAAAGGTGAATGCCATCCTCCCAAAGTGAATAAATATGACTAGAGGAAATTTCCCTTAGTCACTATATATCGCCAGCGAGCCGATATCAAAAACATAGCTGGGAATCAGAAATGTGGTGGTTGGTTAAGATAAACTCAAAATGTCCCACCAATGGTTCGGTACCCAAGACCTCCTTATAAGGTCATAGCAAGTTCAAAAAGAAAGAATTGCACCCCGGACTAAGGAGTAGACCCAGGAGTTGCTCACAAACTATGCCGTAAGCACGCCGTTGGTTACTGTGAGAAAGTTTGCTAGCTGATGATATCCTTCGACCATTCCAATTTCGTCACAGTCTGAAAGATTTCGAATTTATTAACGTTAGGTGGTGGAGTCAAACAATGCGATGGACATTTTTGAGATGCCAAGATCTGTAAAATTAAATGTTTCAATTAGACGTTCAATAGGACACTGGCCAACTGGACTCAAAACCAATTCGAAATTTTGGGCTACTTTAAATTGTAAAGTTTACATTTTTAAAAAAGGTCCTTGATGTACACAAATAACTCTTTTCTAGCGCCATGTTTAAATAAAAAAAGTCTTAAATGTCGAAAGGTGAATGTTAGGCGAAGTTTATGTCCTTCATCCCTATATCCATTGGATATATTTTTACAGCGCGACTCGAGACTGGGCTAAAAATTGAGTTGTTTTTCGAATAAAGCCTTTTAGTAGCTCAAAGTTTAAATTTACAGGACTAGACAAAAAGCCACCAACAAGTTTTTTACCTGATGCATGCGAATAAACCTCTTTTAAAATATCAATTTTTATTATTAATTAAATGCAAAAACTGTATATGAAATTGTGTGGGGGAAGACCAGCTTCTTTTATATTCTCTTCGGTTTTTGTGAAAATGTTTTTTTCGGGGATTATGAAGTAAGAGAAATATACTTATAAAAAACAATATAATTATAAACACAAATTGCTAAATGTGCGAATTTCACATTGCCAAAAATAAAGAATATAAAAATATTTTACAAAAATCAAAACTACTTTTTACGTTGCAAATCTGTAATATTATAGGCTTGAGCTGTTTACCAGCGACATAAATAATGTGGAGAATTCGTGGAAAAAATTAACGTCTATTAAAAAATATTTTATATGTATTTAATCAGTATCAGTAAAGTTGAGTAAGTGTTTTTCATCTACAGATGATAATATAGCATAGAAAAACTAACATCTTATAGCTCTGTGAAGTTTAATAATTTTTTATCTCGAATCGAAAAGCATTCGCTTGTAGCTTATTTAATTAATTTGCAAAGCGTGATTTTGGACTTTAATGACTGTCATTATTATCCGAAACGCAAGCATGGCGAAAGTTAGATTGTCTTTTGCCTGGTGGCAAGTGGATGGCAATATAGATAGCTCAGTCTGCCGATTTACCCTATACCTTATAGCCTTTCTGGCCGTGCTATCTTGTTAATTGTGCTCTGGCTCCGATTGCAATTTTCAAGTGGGTCTTCTTCTGGAGTCGCTGAAGTTTTCGCACCTCGAGGTGCTGTGCCCGGGAATCCGAGGAAGTGAAGTTTGAAGTTCTCCAGAGAGAGAGAGAACTATCTATCCTATTTTTAGCACCACCCCCGCCTCCGCTTCATGCCCTTTCATCTCTCCCTCTCTCTCTCATCTCAAAGGAGTGGCAACCAAGTTGGGCCACCTTTGCAGTTTGCCGTCGACTTAATTAGTTTGTTATCCCGACGCCCCCTTTTCCGCCATCCATGTGGTTGTGTTTCTACGTCTATGTCTCGTCTAGTCCTTGGTCCTTACTCCTTGGCACTTGGTACTTGGTCCCAGTTCCCTGTTCCCTGTTTCCCCATCCCTTCCCTTCTCTATTACTCCTCAACGGAAGTGGTTTGACAATGGAACTTAATGAGTATAAGCGGAAATTTAATCAGCAGTATAAATAATGAAATGACAGCTGAATGGCTCGGCAACGTTTCCAGCTTTTCCCTCACTTTTCCTCCGCTTTTCCAACGCTTTCCCCACACCCCGTTTTGGGTTTCATTTTACGCTAAATGAATCAAAACTCATTTGCTTCGCTTGTTGAGTGTGAATTGTTTGTTTGTCGCTCCGCGTTGTTTGTCGGTTGTTGGTCAATCCAGATCGGGAATTAGTTACGTGTTCATCTATATATATATATATATATATATATATATATATATATATATATATATATATATGAGAAATACGAACCAGCTATAGCTTTCGATATGAAAGCAGATACGACAGCTGACGAGCCAAAAGTGGAAAGCTTGCTAAAACATTTTTAAAACTTTCCATGCCAGCACTTTTATTTTTCATTTTTGGTTGAAAGATTTGCAAACAGAAACTAAAAATATACGGCAGTAAGGGTATTAATAAAGTGTTGATATTCAACAAAAGGGGGTTTTATAATTATAAACAATTTACTATATTAGGTTTATAAATACATATATATTGGGAAAGTTTTTAAACTTTAAGCAGGGGTGCCCAACGCCTATGCTCCTAGTGCTCATTTGTTTTTTGTAATGCTCCTTGCATACGGGCTTGCTCGTGCTCATTTTTCCTCTTTTCACCTCATTCCGTCGCTAACTGTAAAGTAACTTATTCTTGTTTCTTTCTCGATCATCCTCGAACTCCTTGCTATTCCTCCAACAATTTTTCGTTCTCCTCTTTCCGCCTCATTCTGTCGCCAACTGTATGGTAATTTGTTCTTGTTTCTTTCTCGATCATCCTCGAACTTCTTGCTATTCCACCAACAATTTTTCGTTCTCCTCTTTCCGCCTCATTCCGTCGCCAACTGTAAGGTAATTCGTTCTTGTTTCTTTCTCGATCATCCTCGAACTCCTAGCTATTCCACCAACAATTTTTCGTTCTCCTCTTTCCGCCTCGTTCCGTCGCCAACTGTAAGGTAATTCGTTCTTGTTTCTTTCTCGATCATCCTCAAACTCCTATGATAATAATCCTGACAGTATATTCTTTAGCTTATAAATTAAAAAGCTTATGAAGCGCATCGTCACTAAGTTGACTGTTGATAACAGCGATTAATCGTAGTAAGTGAAGGTAAGTAAGCAAAGAATAACGGTTGGATGTCCTGCAAGTCATTATAAGACGATATTTAAAAACTCATATTGGGATAGATCCTAAAGAACCATAGGTGGAAAACATAGTACGATTGTCATTAATCGAACATTCCTTTAAAAAGACGAGTTCCAAGAAACGGTCTCATTCATTTATGAAAAACATCGATAGCCCTTGTTTACTTTAAACGCCATTTTGACATATGTCACCCTATGCCCTTGCTCTGGTTAGTTTTTTGTGCTTTGTGAAATCAAATACAGATAATATCCGTACTTTAGATAGGTAATCGAAGAACCTACAAAAAACCTACAAAATATGAAGCCCAAATCTAAAGATAACAAGCCCTCGACTTTGGAGGCTGCGCTCAGTTTTATAATGAAGAAAAATCGCGATGATTTGGGCTGGAAACCTCGACAGGCAGCCGCCAAGATGGAAAAAACCCCATCGCCAGGGCCCTCGGGAAGCAAGAAACCCGCTAAACAGGGATTCCGGAAGGGCAAGAGGGACAATGACCGGGACCGACTGATGTACATGAATAGCATTACGATGCTTAATGATGGACTGCGCGAGAGAATTGAGCAGGCGGAAAAATCAAAGATTGCATTGATGGAATCGAACGCAAGCCTCAAATTGGAGATTGAAGATTTGACCCAAAAGAAGACCGAATTGGATCAAATCCTCAGGGAGAACACTTGTTCGATTTGCCTCTTGGGGTGGCATCTCAATAGCGGCCATTATCCGATGTCTTTGAAATGCGGCCATGTTTTCGGGAGCAAGTGCATCCTCCAGCACTTGGAATGTCGCTTTGGTTGTCCCACCTGCAGGCTGCCGGTGCAGCTTTACGCACTACGCAACCTCCACTGCTCATAATATAAGACTGGACTCTAATGCTTGGAAACGCTGAACTTAATACATTTACGAAACTATTTATAATACTATTACTGTAATTAAATCGAACGAGCTTATGATGCACTAATTGTTTCTTAGTTAATACGGATATATGCCCTTACGATTGTACAATCACAGTTTATAAAATATTGTATAAAATGTTTTTATAGGATGGAAAACCAAGAATTAGATCAGAGTTACCAAAGTTGAACAAGATTAGAGGTGGAACAACGTTTATCTGTTGTATTGTATCGATTCATCGGCAGAACATATAAGCTTTTCCTAATGTGATTTCCTTCTTTGATTTCGTTTAGCATTGGTCTCTCTAATATTAAAACAGTAAATAAAGTTTAGTATAAACAGATTCACACACCATCATTTGAATGAGTAGTAATTTCCAAAAAGGCAAAACTCCCACGAACAATTGTATAATGCGGATATTCCAGCTGATGTGGACATCATCATTTCAGGCTGGGGAAGGATCAAGCATCAGGACGTTCTGCCACGATATCTGCAGTACAACACCAATACAGCAATGGAGAAGAAATGATCGAACTTCCACTATTTTCTCGAGTAAGTCGACGACGTCAAGTCGACGAGCTTTCCCAATTGATTTTCCATTGAAACTGTTCTTCACAGCGATTATTAATGTAGATCCACTCCTGCCCCGGATGCAATATTGAATAACTCAGTATGACGAAACAGAAAAGAAGTGTGATCCAAACCAGTTCCATGGAGTTTTGAGTCTGTCTTTACTATCCGCCAGATAACTGATTCCCACCTATGTTTTTGAAATCTAGGAAGGAGGAATATGTTGACTGCCTGGAATGCCATATCATTCGCTTCAGGAGGAAGTTCTAAACAATTCGTAGCTCGCCCCGAGTTACTAAAGGTGAATGCCATCCTCCCATAGTGAATAAATATGACTAGAGGAAATTTCCTTTAGTCACTATATATCGCCAGCGAGCCGATATCAAAAACATAGCTGGGAATCAGAAATGTGGTGGATGGTTAAGATAAGCTCAAAATGTCCCATCAGTGGTTTGGTACCCAAGACCTCCTTATAAGGTCATAGCAAGTTCAGAAAGCCAAAGAATTGCACCCCGGACTAAGGAGTAGACCCAGGAGTTGCTCACAAACTATGCCGTAAGCACACCTTTGGTTACTGTGGGAAATTTTGCTAGCTGATGATATCTTTCGACCGTTTCAATTTCGTCACAGTCTGAAAGATTTCGAATCTCTTAACGTTAGGTGGTAGAGTCAAACCATTCGATAGAAATGTTTGAGATGTCAAAATCTATAAACTAAAATTTTTTAGTTTTTTTTTTTTCGTAATCCCATTACCTACAAAGTACTGTATTCGTTGAAAAGTATGTAACAGGTAGAAGGAACCGTTTCCGACCCTATGAAGTGTATACATTCTTGATCAGTTTGGCATCAGAATAGGCATCCCGATTTATTAAAACAAATGAAGGTTAAAAGGCCACAAGGGTAGTGACGTCACCATCAGTTAGTAAACATGCTTTTTCCAAAAAAAGGTGCCGCTTTGTCAATTTCCGCTAGCAAAATGATTAATTTAAACTTGGATAAGACAATTATGGATGTCTTATAGTTTTGGACTAGAATTGTCTTTTTGAATTCCTTTCAGCAAACAATTTTTTTTAGGAAACGTTTAGAAAACTTCGAATAGATTTAATGGTTTGTTTTTGTACATTTTTTAGCATTCCCCATTGTTAATGTTAAATTTAAAAAAGAATTTACCAATAAAGCTGAAGAAATTCTAAAACATTTTAAGCTCAAAGTTATTTCCATATTCACTTCGATGGGGAGCAACACATCTTGGTCGTTTGAAAGGAAAGAAAACTCAAAGCTGGCAATGAAGTCGCCAAGGAAATGGGGAAAATGTGGGCGGTAAATTGAGGGAGTGGCGCATTCGCGTTTATATTGTGTGTGTGTGTGTGTGTGTGTGTGCGGCGGAGCATGCGATTTGAATTGAACTTTCTGCATGCAAATAAACTTCCAGGATACAACCCACCCACCACCCCATCAACAATAAAGGGTTCGGCGGGGCGGGGAGAGTGGGAAACTGTGAAGAATTTAATTTTCCAATTCATAAACAATTTCTGCAATAAAAGCCAAAACCAAAGTAGCAGTAATAACACTGAAAATAATCCAACTAAGCATAAACAATGGAATTCGATTTAGATCAAGACGTTGCGAAGTTCAAGCACCCTTTAAATGAATTAGTTAATTATAAATTATAATTATAAATTATAAATAAATCTTAAAAATAACATATTGAAAGAATTCTTATATTTGTATATTTTATTTCGGAAAAAATACGAATTTAAGAGTCATTTCCCTGGGAAAAATCAAGCTTTTCCGAATTTACTCATTCATTAAATATGATTTTCTAATATTTGGATGTATTTCGTAAAAAACAGTCAATTGATACAAACCACCAATGCTTTTTTTTTTTTTTGGTAAAAGAACATGGTGAACAAACTTTATTTCAGCTACCATGTGATGGGTGGGCGTGGCAGTCATTGCCGCCTTCCGATGAGCTTCGATTTGAATTTTTTCCTCTTCTGGCGCAGACAAATTTCCACTTCATTGTCGCCCCTGCTGACTTTACCACCTCTTCGGCCCCCGGAAAAAGGGTTATTCTTCTCCGTTTTGGGTGTTGCAAGTTTATGTTGCCTCACTTGAGTGAGGATTTTCGTTTTTTTGTGGGTGTATGTGCTTGCCACATGATGACACTTAGGATCGGCAACGACCGAAAGTTATGCGAATTTTTTCGCAAGTTTTATTTGTCTGATTTTCACGTCGTAAACTTTGCAACTTTTCATGACGCAAAAAAATCACAACCGAAAATCAACCGCAAAACGAAAAAGTGTAATTATGGCCTAAAACCAGGGAAACGAAAAGGATAACGCCAAAAAATATTACTGTTCAAGATAGAAAAAGATCTGACCTTAAGTAGAGTTGCCAAAAGGTTATACCCTGGGCAAAGTCAGCAGTTTAAGAAGGATATTTTAAAGGACTCCCTTAAGAATAAGTGCTAATGATAATTTTACTTATAAGCTAATGAATAAAAGGGAAACAAGAAGAAACGCTGTAGTTGAGTGCCGCGACCTTAAGATACCCCTTACTGACTTATCAAATTTTTAAATAATCATTTTACTACCATCATTAAGTAACCGGTGATGTCATTGCCCATGTTGTGCCTGTTTTAATGTTCAAATTTTGCTAAATCGGAAAGAAAGAATTATACAAGGTCAAAGCAAAACATAAATCTTAATTCTTTATCTTAACTTTCTAGCTTAAACCCAAAAATGTATATCTTAAAGTTCAGTTAGATCACGGACTAGATCTAATGGGAAAACTTTTTCCCAATTTTTGAGGATAAGGAAGAAAACTCAACAATATGGCCAACCGATTTTATGAATTCCATAACTCTTCTGGCACTCACAGAAGTAATGTTAGACCCAATCTACCAATAAGACCCCTAATGGGGGAAAAGGAAAGCGGAACTTGGCATTCTGTAATGCAACTTTAGGGTCTGGCTGGTGTGAAAGACCCTCGAACCAGGATGATAATGAAGAGCATCAGTTATGATTTAATTAAAATATGAAGTTGGAGAACATCTCACACCAGTTTCATATGGCGCTCTGCTCTCTGCTGATCAAGAACAAGATGGGTGGGTACCTTATAGGTCGGTTATACTTCCTTAACGGTCTGCTATTTAACATTTCATTCTACAGGATGGCCTACAAAAGATTTGCGGTTTAAAAAAGATCAGCAAATCTTCTACGAAATATCTGACACATTGACAATGACATTCGAAATGTCAAAGTCAAAATTATGGATAGTTCAAAAAGCAAACGCTACATGGGCCACCCTGTAGGTTATCTAGTATTTAAGCAAGAGGAAGCTTCCTTCTACCTTTTACATACTCTTACTTTTACTCTTCGCTTCTTAATTAACTGTTTTTATACTTACTTAACTATCAATCCAATAAAAATTAATCAAAATAAGTAAAAGATAAGCATAAATATAACCGCACCTTCAAAACATTTCTTAACTCGCTTCAAGGAGCCAAAATGAATAAACAAAACTGTTTGAAAACTTTAATTTTCGCAAAGCGAATAACAGCTAATAATTTTGTTCTTTAAATGAGCTTAAAAATTATTTTCGCAGCCATTTGAAGTCGCAGTTTTCGCCAATTTCGGCAATTATCAAAGGCCAAAAACTAAAGGAGCATTCCTTGAACATTTGTCTATGCACTGAAGGATCTTATCAGGGTTATCGCATCGCAATGACAACTCCAACTTCCTCGCACACACACACACACACACACACACACTCCTGCAATGGCAGCCAGCCATAGGTTAGTTGCCAACTAACGGTAAATGCGCGCCAAGTGTCATTATCCTTTTGGCTGGCACTCTCTGTCTGTGTCGGTGTCCGTGCTAGTGTGTGTGTGTGTGTGTCAGCTTGTGGCATATTAACGCTCCCAACCTGGGCCCACACACACACAAACACACACTTTGGGGGACACACAAATACACAAGGACGCATGCAAACACTCATGAAGTCCACGTGGCCATTGCCAAAAAGACAGAGCCGCGCATATACACAAACATATATATGTATGTATGTATGTGTGTGTATGTCTGTGTTTGTGTATTACCCCACCCCCTTGAAGCTGCCCCTTTTTTTGGGAAAACCCTTGGGAGGCGAAGCCAAGTTTTAACCGCCAGCATCGTCATCGTCTTGCTGTTCTTTAGCTTGCTACAGGGTACCAAAGGGATATTGGGCATCATGAAAAGCAAATAAAAACTCGTATATCCGATTTGAAGACATCGAAACAATAATCTGCAAACTATGTTTGAAATGAATCCTTACATTTTGAAGTAAGCAAACCAGCTAAAGTAAAAATTGAGAAATTTTCCTAAAAAACAACCTTTAAACTGAATACTAATTGGTAGCACAGGAGATGCCTATCAATACTTATGATGACCAAAAATTAGTTACTACTCTTAATTAGATTTATTCAAATTACAAACTAGAAAATTCTCAAAGTTGTAACTGCATAAGAAATCTTCAAAATTAGATAAAAAGGAGGGTTTTCTATAATTACGCATACGCCGCGTGGTTCATAATTCTCAGTATCGGGCTTAATGAAATATTAAATTTTGAAAATGGCTAGTAAGTTACTATCTTAGAAAAAAGTACTTATTTTATGTCTTTATATTATTACTCATACGCCATGTGATTTTTAATTAGCTTCATTTTGTTCATTCATTTTATGGCCCCCATTGGGACTTTTCTTATTTATTTTCTTAGATAAAGAATTGATTTTAAATTGGTATTTTATAAATTTAATTATTAAATTTATAAATATTAGTTTTTAATTCATATTTTAAAACGTGCGCTTACTCATTTTAGCTATATAAAATGGCTTACATTAGAAGCAGTCTTAGAAATGGTAGAATTGTCATGGCCAGTTGTTCCCTTGCTGTGCTTCCTCTTCTTGGGCCACCAATT